TCATACATGTATTTTTTTGTAATCGTTGTCATTTTAATTTTAAGGTCCTTTATTTATTATGATAGATCTATTATAGATCTAGATATCTAGATCTAGATCTAGATTCTAGATCTAGATTCTAGATCTAGATATAGAATCCAGATCTAAAATCTAGATAGACCTATAGGGCCTAAACATTGAGTTGTCCTGCCTTAGGTCAGATTATTTTCGCTCTCGAAAAGCCACAGATAGGCTAGCCAATAGCTTACCGTTTTTCCGGTATAAAAGAAGCATCCGCTGCCGTGAAGTGGCCTTACATGACGATAGATGCCTAGGCTATAGTAACCCATATTTTTGTTATTCCAACGTAGTAACTGTTGAGATGGTGTGTGTGGTGTGTGTGTGTGTGTGTGTGTGTGCGCGCGCGCATGTGTGTGTGTGTGTGTGTGTGTGTGTGTGTGTGTGTGTGTGTGTTAGCCGTTTCAAGTGCTAATTGGAGCCCCGTCTGACCTTTTCAGGAGTCGACTCTCATGTGAACACACATCTTCTGAAGATAAAGAAAAATATAAAGGGAGGCCTTCAATATTTTTGGCCGCTTGTCTGCCACCTCACAATGGACGATAGGGCCTTGCCCACAGATATTGATAGTGCCACCAACTTAAATAACAATTTTGGCACAAGGCAAACAACTTGAAGAGAATCAAATAATTTTGTTCATCTTTTACTTTTGACCGATCTGTAATCAATTAGATGCTCAGTATTTCTCGTTTTCATGTAAAACACACCCTTCCCATGACTACACTACAATTGGTTTTTAAAATTCCTCGCTACGAACTACAAAATTTAAAGAACAAAGTCATACGAAGACGAAATCTAGATTCTAGCTGTCGTAGCTTGTATAACTTTATCAACAACTTCGGGTATTGTGCAGGGATCGGCACAGCCGTTAACATCATGTGAAGAATTCATGTCTCTTGGCAAGGGGGAGGGGATCTCATTTTTAGATTTGTTTCCACGTATATCTTGATTATCTCTAGGCCTATATATAAATGAAAAGGCCTCCCAGGATGGTGTTTAAAAGTACTTTTTCCCATTTGTCTATTTTTGAGCTTCCTCATCCCTCCCACCCACCCATTGAACGCGCGCGCGCACTCACACGCACACACACACACGCACAAACACACACACACACGCACAAACACACATGCTCACGCGCTCTAACACTATATCGGCACACGACCTAAGATTAGGGGTGTGGCTGACAGACAGTAACATAGAGAAGCCACTAGAAAGCAGTCAGGAGTAAGAGAGAGGAGCATGTAGAGGAGGCCGGGAGTGGAGATGACAGAATATGATTTGAAAAAAGAAAAGGCATTGAAAGGAGAACATTTTAGAGAATTCCTTTTGTCCAAATTTCAATCCCGGGACCTTTGCAATGAGAGGCGAACACCACACCTCTGGGCCACTGCTGACTCATATTGTGAAACCATTTTAAATTTTAATCGAAGATAATTTTTTATTTTTTTGCTCATATTTCTTAAAACTAAATTTATTGGTTCTGACATTGGCTAACCAACCTCGAACGTGATTCGTTCGTTGCTGCCTTGAACGAAAGAAGACTAAACTTTAATAATCATGATGTGCTAAGGTAATGGTGGCAAGTTTCCTCTATTCATTCTTCATGCGCCAAGACAGGGTTGAGATTTTATCTGAACCTGGTTCATCAGACATAATCCAAGCTCTGTTGGTATGTTGGTTTGAGCAGTCCTCAATCATTAACAACGCCGGAACACGCATACTATTTTATTTTTGTTAATTGATCAGACTATAGACCATGAGCATACACTTTCCATCTTTCCTATCCTGGGCTAACCTCTTGTTATTGTTATTCCATGTCTTCCCACTTTCCTGGACACTCTCTGGACTCTTCTCCATATTCCATGTGGCCTTCCTCTTGATCTCATACCCGCAAAATTTTTCTTTGTAATGCAGCTGCCCAGCTTATATATATGTCCAATCCATCGCCTCCACCTTCTTCCCATTTCATCTCTGGGGGCACAGACTTGATCTCCGTAACACTCGTTCGTTGGTGGCTCTGTTCGTATCTGATCCTGAATGTGTTCAAGAAAATCTGGATTCTTTTTATGCAAGTCTGAGATACGTTCCATGTCTCACATCCATACGACAAGACTGACTTCTCTTATGACTTGAACATCCCTAGATTTTTTCAGAGCGAGATATCCGAGAGCCACCAAATCCCACTCAAAGATAATATAAAAGTAAAAGCAGTCTGTGCCTTTCCGATGTGAGACTTAATTTCAGCTCCCGATCTTCCCTCTTCCGCCTTCATAATCCTTGTATTCTAAAAAAAAAAAAAAAAGTAACAAAAGTTGGAGGCTTCATCTTCTCTGTGGTCGTTGAATCACGCTGTCAATGCTGGTGGATCTAACTGCTTGGTGCCTCCAGTCTCAGCTTGGTCGGCTAGCTTAAATCAGCACGTTCATTGCCTCGAACCCCTGCCTGACCAGGGCTAAAGGTCCTTACAATCTTTGTGAGTCTACTGCTTCGTATCGCCTCTCGCCAGTCTGCATACATCATGGTTGTGCTTCTTCACTTTTTTAGGGTACTCATCGAGTCTCTGAAGAGGATGGCAGATTAATGCTCCGTCTCCTTCCAGTAAAGGCCTCTATGATGGCCTTCATCTCCATGAACATACTGGACATGGTTATAGTAGTGGCGCCTGACTGTTCTCTGCATAAAGCCCTGAGAAGGCCCTTAAGGGGGGGGGGGGGGGGGG